GCGGTGTTGCTTTGACCATTTAAACATGTTAATTACACAAACAAAATGTTTAGCGTACTGTCTCTGGAAATATCAACAGTGATTGATCAGCCTTTATTTTTGTATTGTAGACGTTATTACTAGGCGAAGCAAAATTTGCTGAAATATCCACGACATAGGCTACAGTGAGAGCACATGGTTTATCTGTCCATCAGATGCGTGTCAAAGTTGAGTTTGTTACTATAACAACAGTAGATAAAACAATCATTGTAAAAAAAAAAAATAAAATTTGTCGAGATCACGAGAAAATTAAGTCGTTATAACGAGAAAACAACTCTCCTTATGTCGAGATCACGAGAAAATTAAGTCCTTATAACGAGAAAACAAGAAGGAAAAAAATAAGAATGCATGGCCGCTTAGAACTTCCGTAGTAACAGGCTCGTTAACACTTAAGTTAACCAATTATCATGAAGCACATTTTAAAATATACTGGGGTTCTACGCTAAGCTTACAACTGTTTAATGTTACGGAAGTTCTAAGCGGCCATGCATTATTTTTTTTCCTTCTTGTTTTCTCGTTATAACGACTTAATTTTCTCGTGATCTCGACATAACGAGAGTTGTTTTCTCGTTATAACGACTTAATTTTCTCGTTATCTCGACATAACGAGAGTTGTTTTCTCGTTATAACGACTTAATTTTCTCGTTATCTCGACATAACGAGAGTTGTTTTCTCGTTATAACGACTTAATTTTCTCGTGATCTCGACATAACGAAAGTTGTTTTCTCGTTGTAACGACTTAATTTTCTCGTGATCTCGACATAACGAAAGTTGTTTTCTCGTGATCTCAACTTAAAACCCGTTTTCTCACGACGTAATTGTAGCTATCGCGAGATAACCCCGCGCCTTGTGAATGCTTCTGGCGAATATCATGGTGTACACGCTGGCGGCTCGCCTAAATAAATCTCCATCATAAAGTTACTAATTTCCTGCAGAAAATATGGACTTTTTCTCTGCATTGAGAGAGAGGGGTGTCCCCGAGGAGAACCTGACAAAAATGGAGGATGATAAGGTATGTTACTTGTTAAGATTCTAGATTAATACGAGGTTTGCTACAGTATTCCTGTTTTATGGTTATTGAAATGGTCACACGAATAATGCATGTTTCATAGCCACTGTTTGAAAACTATTAAGTTCTAACGTTAGCTGGAACGTTAGCTTGTTTCAAAGCAGCTTTAAAGGGATAAACAGAAACATCATGAGTCGGTGATGCAAACAGAATTCGATGCCTCTGTAAAGAAGCTTTACAAAAAAAGATAAGATTCGTTTTAAAGGTGTCGTATGATTTTTCGACCACTCTTAGACCTCTGTCTGAATCTCAGACTGCATTTCACACGTATGCTTTGGCCACACTGGGATGCTAAGGTCATTACTACACTGTATCTTTACATCGCAAATAGTTGTTTGCTGATTATACTTGGAGAAATCCTATATAGCACATTTAAAGAATATTTGAACTGGTCCTGTGTGTAATATCCTTTATAAGTAAAGCACGCATTGAAATCACTGACTTCATTTATATAGCCTACACTGTACTTTATATGTAATTGCAAACAATGTCCAGTAGATGTGGACATCTTAGGTGTCCACATCATTCATTTATAAATGAATTGACTAAGCCAATGATTAATAATCCATTCATAAAGGCGGTCACTTGCTTTGTTTCTACTGAATCTGCCGTTTTGAACGAATCGCTTGACGGAATGATTCAGTGAATCATTTAATAAAAAGGGACTTGCTGCCACATATTGGCAGTTTAAGTGTTATATTTATTCATCCATGACAGCCCTAAATCAGTCAAGGTACCAGCACAAAAACACACGCAGCAAAATATTGTTTAATTATCGACAAAAATCCCCCCATTTCAGGCCCCAGAAGGAAAACAGCTTATAAATCATAGTTCATTTAAGAAAGATTATTTTTGTTACATAAAAATGTGTTTAAAAATTAGGCAAATTTTATAATCATAGAT